ATATATAGCGCTAAGTAATAATTCTGTTGGGTGAGTATGGATAAAGGAAAGGGAACTTCAGAGCAGTCTGAAAGGATGGTGGGTGATGCAAACAGGAAGAAAGAGAGGAAGTAAAGCGGTGAACAGAAGATGTTTGAGAAAGCAGTGCTGGAGAGGTGGAGACAAAAAAAGAAATAGAGAGCAAGAAAAAAAATATTATACCATGAGAAGGGGAAGCAAATTACAGTGCAGTAACTATAACAACTGTTGAACTGACAAAAAGGAAGAAGGAGAGAGAATAGGTCAAAACGCTTTTCATACAGAAAAGAAAGTAAAAAGTAGATGAAACAACCTCAGAAAAATATAAATTGCTGCTGCTTCGAATCAGTGGCCTTGACAAGTGCGGCAACACATCTGTCTGAAGTAGGGTCTGCTGCAGAACTTAAACTTGAGCACCAGGGGGCAGTAGGCCACTTTGTTGACATCCTTACATTCTGTGGAGAAAGACAGGAAAGAATGTTAGAGGCAGGAAACACTGGAGAAAAGGGTCTCTGCGTGTACGAAGGAGGGTCTGATTTACTGTATAGGAGGCAGGGGACAAAGTGTCATGCTGTGGGAGGGATGAAAGTCTGGGGCACAGAAAAAGGGAAATAGTAACTGAAAGTAACATAAATAGATGGTGCAATATAACAGTCACAAAAAGAAGAACGAAAGAAAAAAAAAAAAGAGAATAACTTGTTGATTTCAGCCAGCTTTAGATATTCTTACCATCAGGGCTGTCAGAAGGTCCTGCCTCACATTGATTTTCACACTGCTGCATGTCAGGGGGACGCAGGGACTCGATGCATTCCACCGATGGCTGTCCTCTGTGGCTCACACATTGCACAGAGCGTCTCTGCTGCCCATGTCCACACTGGGCTGAGCACTGACCACGAGAAAAGGAATAATACAAATAATGTTCATTATGTTACATGTTTATTGTCATCCTGTAGGCTGCAAATCTGTAACCCTTACCTCAGACCAATCACCAGTCACCCAGCGTGGTGGCGGGCATCTCTGCAGAGTACATCTTACGCTAGTTGCAGGCTTGTCCTTAGCCAGGCATAGGGAAGGGGGTAACGTATTTTCACCATCCCCAGACTTGCAAAGCACAACTCTGTGTCTGTATCCAGGGCCACAGCTTGGACTGCACTGAAAAAATATTTTCAAGTTTATAAGGAAAATAGGACTAAGTTTTTACTTATTATTTATTGATTACAGATATTTATATAGCACCATCAATTTATGCAGTGCTTTACATACTATTCATTCACATCAGTCCCTGCCTTTAAGGAGCTTATAGTCTAAGGCTGGCCCATAAACTCTCAATCCCCCTTCCCCAGCTGGACTGGTGTATCCTGACAGTGGTGGGTGCGCTTTTGTCAGAAAAGCGAGCAGTGACTGGAGTTGATTGGCTGCAGTCACTGCTCAGCTGAGAATTTTCAGTTTGGCTCCTTTGACAAAAGTCGATTGAAAAATGAAAGGGTGGATTGCCAAATGGGCTGTACACTGGTCACAATTTAGCCAAGCTATCAGGCTGAAATTCAACCAGTGTTTGGCCAGCTTAAAATCCCTGTCTCATATGCATACATACTAGGGCCAATTTAGACAGAAGACAATTAACCTACCAGCATGACATTGGGGTGTGGGAGTGCCTGTAGAAAACCCACACAAGCACAGGGAGAACATGCAGTTTGTCTTTAGCCAAACCCCAACCAGGTGCTACAACGCAGAAGTGCTAATCACTGAGCCACTGTACTCATTATTCAATACCTGAACAGTAGATTTCTGGAACATTGAACATTCAAAAAGTGAAGATTTGCTATCATTTAGGTAACATCTAGAAATGTTAATTGTGCCTAAACTGTGCCCTGAACAATGTGGCTATAACCTGTATATCTACAGATTGAGATCACATAAGGCCCTGCTGCCTCTGATTGCTAGTCTTAGGACATTTGGTGATGTCACTACTGTTTAACTCACTGTACTCTTTGCTGGAGTAAAAGCTGTGCTCGAGGACCTGCACTGCAAGGATCTCCCTGTTTCATTCATTCTGTGGTTCTTTTATAAAGATAAACACCAACTTATATGCATTTGCGCGTAGCAGTACATCTAGGAACGACCTGCGAAATTACATAATATAATATTTTGTCTGGAACCCCCTGTGCAGCAAATCATCAGCAAGACAAGCTTTGTGAAGCCCACACTGAATGCTTCCATTACCTCAGACCAGTCCAGCGCCACCCACTCTGGTGGGCATGATTTGTTGTTGCAGGGCTCCAGCATTGTGGGGCGAGGTGGTGTGCAATTGCTATCATCTAGAGATTTCTCTTCTGCTGCTAACACCCGGCGCTGGCAGATTGCACTGCGGGTACGAACACCAGAATTACAACTCCGGCTGCACTCAGTCCAGGGACCTATTGCCCACCTAATGAAGAAATCATATTAACTAGACATGTGCAATGAGCATATTTCATATAAATGTAATAAAAAGGCAGCATTCATAAAGCAATACATACATGTAGATTAACACACTTATCTATGCCATGTTTGTTAGACCACCTTATTTTCAGCTATACTTAATTTCTACAGAAAAATCATTATCCACAGCATGCAGTCTTTCTTACACAATGCTTTCCGTAAAAACAGTGGACACATCTTCTCCATTCTTACCAGGGCCATCCCTAAAATGAGGCAGCCACCTCAGGAGGCATCTCATTAGAGGGGTGGCAGGTTTGTGTGTGTGTGGGGGGGG